CTTGGTGTACGTGCTTGAGTTCACTGGCAATGTGTTCCTGGTTGGAAATGCATTGGGCTCTATGGTGCAGAGTCTTGATGATGGAATTTTTCTGGGATGGATGGTGGTGGGAATCCGGTTTTAAGTAAGAATCCGTATGGGTAGCTTTCCTGTAGACACAGTGGCTCATTGAACCATCAGGTCTCCTTTTAATTAGGACATCCAAAAAGGGTAGCTTGCCATCTTTTTCTACTTCCATGGTAAATCTGATGGCTGGGTGTATGGAATTGTTGTGGTTGAGGAATTGGTCTAGAGCAGGTCGGCCATGTGGCCAGAATTACAAAAGTGTCATCCACGTACCTCTTCCATAAGGTAGGGCGTAGAGTGGCAGTCTGGATGGCGTCAGTCTCAAATTTCTCCATGAAAACGTTGGCTACAACCGGAGATAGGGAGGAGCCCATTGGGGTGCCCTCAGTTTGTTTGTAGAAAGTTCCATTCCAGGTGAAGTATGTGTTGGTTAAGCAGTGTCTCACTAGGGGGGTTACATCAGTATGCAGTCCTTGATGAACCAAGTTTTCAATGATTGCGATGGTGTCAGGTATAGGAACTTTGGTGAATAAGGAAACCACATCAAAACTGACAAGCAGATCATCTGGGGACAAGGGAAATACCCTTGATTGTCGATGCCAGATGAGTAGAGTTTAGTACCGCAGAGGTAGTTTTTTCCAGTAAAAGGCCGCAGGATTTCAGACAGAAAACGGGCCAGTTTGTAGGTGGGGGAGTTGATAGTAGAGACGATGGGACGAAGGGGTGTATATTCGTTGTGTATCTTTGGAAGGCCATATAATCTTGGTGGCCTGGCTGCAGAAGGTTTCAATGAGAACTGTTTGGTTTGATCAATTAATGCTGTTGAATCAGAAATGATTTTGTTGGTTTTAGTAACGAGGCTGTTGGTGGGGTCTCTTCTTATTTTTGTATAGCTGCCATCGTTGAGTAGTTCCTGAATTTTGTTGTTATATTCTATTTTGTCCATGATGACAGTGGCATTGCCCTTGTCGGCTGAGAGGATGACAATGTCATCCCTCTTTTTTTATTGAGATAATTCAAAGCACTCATCTTTGCTGATGTTGCTAGCTGGCATTTCAGCGTTTTTAGAAATGTGAAATTGGCTCAGAGATGCCTGTTTCAGCAAGTAGACAACATTACATATTTAAAGTGTTTAAAGGTTTATTCGTGTTATTATACCACTTATTCCCAAATTTACAATGTTGCATAATTCTATATCGAGTGAATGTGATATGTAGCGAATTAAATTAATTTCTTAAGTTATTAATGTAATGGTTTATTTTCTTTCTATTTGACTGTGGAATATAAAAAAGATATGCAAGTTGGTTGTTCTTTTCTTAAAGGGAAATAGAAAAACATTTTCAATGTCAATTACCACACAAGTCAAATGTGAGGCCTACTTTAACTGGCTCATGAAGGGCAAACTGCATTTCTTACAGGATTGCGATGCTTAGTCAATGTTTATGTTTGTTGTCTTTGTTGCTTGGCTTATTTATGCAATTATATTTCCATTAAATTAGCCTTACCACTTCTATTTCATGTATTCATTTGTTCAGCCAGGTGTGGTGCCACACCTGGCATAATTTCTCGAGAATTTCTTTGGTGTTTAGTTTGTTGTCCTTTCCCACATCTCCGATTAACACGGTTGGCTACTCATAATAAAGCTTTTTGGGTGCTGGCGGGTTAACGACACATTTAGACTTACACGATTTAACCCAAAAACCTTTTTTATGAATAATATTGGTCGCGAAAGCCTACGTGTCCAAGTGACGGTTGGCTACGTACGGTATGAAAGAAGATCAACGTACATACAAACACCCAGTACTTGGAACGCGTTGGGTTGTTGTGGCACTGGGCTTAGAGGTGGTCAGGAGATGGCAGTGCAGAAAATGGATGCTTAAATCCTCCTGTGAGGAGTATGTGCCCTCTGTGTGCTCGGGTTTTCTCCTAGGTATTCCGGTTTGCTCCTACATGCCAAAGAATACGTTCATGGAATTGGCAAAACACTCTAAACTTTTTATTTTCCATCTTGCACCAATGTCTCTATTTTTATGGGTTTTCTTACAATTTACAGATTTGAAACACTCCGATGATGGTGTCTTCACGAGGCTTTCCTGGATAGAGGGAATTATTATCATAAGCTGCAGTAGGGTTATACTGTATCCATAATTAATTTGTATAATTTTAATCTTGATTCAAACTTTTAAGTTAAAATATGTGCAAGCTCCATAAAACAAGCAACATTGTCAGCTTAAGAGAGTGGTTGTCATTTATTTTGCTGACCCTGAACCAGTGGTGAATATTCCACCATTTGTTTGACAGGAGCCAGTCTCTTCATAGACCAACGTTCTTCACTTCAATGAAAGTGCTCATTTTATTGGCCGTGCAGGAATAATGGGCTAAGTCGACCCACAACTGGGATTAATTTCACAGCCTATACCCATAATAAGTCCAGTGCTCTGGCACAGCGTTACTTGCCCTGATGAATACACCTAAAATCGCCATAATCTATATTTGTAACAAACAAAACATCCAGTGAGTTCTCATTAGGTTAAATAACGAGTTATGAATTATACTGCACAGCTTCTATCCACGAACACATGCTTGAATATATCATTAAGCAACGTTGACAAAGTTGTAATACGTACTTGCCTCTTTCCACTCAGTTGCCCGAGGCGTTTTGGCGGCGGTCATGTTTCCTTCGAGCTTTTAGAACCGTTAATTAAAAACAACAGACGCAGTGCACTACATAGTAGCGTACGCATGAAGTTGTAAATGCACTTCGTAAAGTTTTTAAAGACCGCCAGACAATTAGTGCTGTGAGATTCGGTTCCAGAGACACGGCGATTGACGGGGACACAAAAAAATCTTGAATACGCGCAACGAAGCGCGATGCAAGCTCCGAGTTACGTTGGGGAAAAATAAAGAGGAACACATGGATGGGAGTGCAATGGGCAGATCAATGGCATCATTCAAACTGCTAAGTAAGTGGTCTATGGCAGAACACACTGCTCGAAGGGATTGATGGCCGATGGTCCCAGAATAATGATGGAGTTGTTGCCAAGGTCAACGTCCTCCAAGGATGACGGAGCAATGGAATCGGTGTGCGCACAGGTGCTCAATGAATGATTGCATCTGGGATCAAGAGAGATGTTGGCAGCTTGGGGGCGGCTTTCGTTTAGCAACGAGTTGACCAACTTTGTTGTTGATGATAATTATGCCCACGGGTGGTGGCGGGGGGCGGTGGGTGGCACGGGATCGCGCACTGCACGATGTTCTTGGCCACCTGAGTTTGATTGTTGACCACGGCTGAAGCGATATCTGAACTGGGAATGGGCTTCCCCCTTCGCCGAGCCCATACTTAGCGACGGCGCCCCAGGTGTCCCTGGAAACATTATAATGAACCCCAATGAGTTCCCATTAAGTTAAGTTGCCCAGAAACACAGAAGCTGGAATATATTATGGACAAAAATGTTTAAGTGCGTACAACTCCATTTGGTTGCCCAATAGCTATTGGTATGGATGGAATTTTGCTTGGAAATGTGGAGCCATTTATTGAAAATAACACAAGTACAGGGTGATCCGTTTATAGATACTCCACTGATGTATAATGATCCTATTGTATCTACATATGTTGGACTTCTCTTGGCACCATACATAGCCAATGGTGCGAATCGGAGGTATGGGAGAATAACTATAAACTAAACACAAATAGCGGTAAACTTTCACTTTCTCCTCAAAATGTGATTGGAATTCATGAAGACGAAGGCTCCATATCTTACAGAGGAGAGTGTTATGAGATTTAATAAGTGTACTGAAATTGGTGGGAGATGTGTATAGGCTTTTAAATAAAATTGTATTGCCTCTAGTTTCTTGCTGTTATTTGGCTGCTATAAATTTCCTCATGATAAGCCACTTCGTTGAGCTATCATTTGGGGCCAGGTCAATTCTGAAAACTAGCTCAGTGGGCCTTGCCTGGTAAAATAAAAAGTTTAGTTTAGTATTTACGTGGGGTATCTATAAATGGTTAACCCTGTATATACAGTACAGTTTTGCACAATGTGGGGAGCGGTAGTGCAACGGTTAGCGCGCTGCGCTATGAACCCGGCGACCCGAATTCAATTCCCGCTCATGGCCAACACCATTGAAGATTTAGGAATAGGTTTTACCCTTTTAACTGGCACAAAAACTGACACCTTTATTCAAGGCATCATGTTTGCAAAAACCACAACACAAGCAGTCAGAATGCAAACAAAAAAGACAACTCTGATAATAATATGCACTATCTCATTCGGTCCTGGGCCTGTCCTAGGTCGAATCAGCCTCAAATAAGTACCGGGTGCAGTATGTAAACATCGCCACTGGGGAGACAAAGGCGGCCGTGCGTGGTGCAGGCCACCCACCCCCTCATGTGCCGTGCCGGCCTTCATAGGTGCTCACTAACAGCACTTGCCCCAACAGTCTGGTAAGGCTATACGGGGGGTTCTTTGTCAGTGATGTGTGATATCTACATTGGTCCTGCACTCCCCCATCAGCAACCCAAACTGAAGTATGGTCAAAACAACCACTGTGGACGACATGGTGTGGGAAGGCCTTGATCTCACAGTGGATTGACAAAGGGCTGTAAATTATACTCATTATTATATGGACAAGCTTTGTAAATATCCACACGTTTGGGTGTGAGAAAAGGAGACGATTTAGAAAATGTGTTGTTTATAACTTCAGGGGAGAGTGGATGTGTGAGCATTTGGGATTTAAGTACCCAGAATGGCAAACAGACGCATGCCGGCAGAAAGATCAACACGCAGTTGCGTCTGCAGCCAAGCACAACGCAGACCGGCTCATCTAAAAATAGCAAAAAAACGACTTGATGTTGGGATATTTGCTGTTTCAAGCCACTTGGTGAAAGCGCTTATTCACACTGTTGCTAACCCAAGTGTTCTTGTACTTTGCAGGTATCTCAGTCACAACCATATCACCGTGCTCAAGCCAAGAGTGTTTCAAGACCTGCGTTGGCTAGAGTGGCTGTAAGAGACATCGCTTCAGCTGTCACCGTTCTGGCTAGTAGTTGTTGTATAGGTAGACACACACACATGCATGCCGTGCATTACATGCAAAGTATACTACACGGATGCATGGATGCTGTCGCTGTGTAAGTGGTCGTCGTCGGCGACAGTCCCTCGGCCTTCGAGGATGACGTCGGTCAGGTTGGGTGGTTTCTCTGGAGGTGGCTGAGGAGTCCAATTCTGGATTAGCAGATCTTTGGGCATTGTGCGCACCACACGATCCCAGATGGAAGTGCAATCCGCAGTACCGAGTTGGCTTCGCGGTGGAAGTGATTAGCTCACTAGGGGCTTGCAATCCAGAGGTCACCCGTCACTGCAGTTGAAGCAATGGACGAGTTTCCTAACTTCCACCGGTCCTTCTGGGTCCGCTCAGCAAAATAAATGGGCACACATCAGGTCGTTTATTGGCAGGCCATATGGTGGGTTAAAATGTGGATACTCCCACCTTTTTTTACAAGACGTCTTGCCAGCGTGCAAGGTTAGCCCCAATACCACACAGAGGGGTTCTCTGCAGCTGCCTTCAGTGGAGGTCCTTCTGAAAACAGCGGTGAGCACAAGCAATTACACAACTGCACCTTTGTCTTTTATACACGAGAGTGTGTGTTCAACGTCAAACAGGGACACATGACAAGAGAGGCATTAGGCTTATCATATTGCTCTTGGCATGTACTGGTAATTCGTATTCGGGCGCCACATTGGCGAGATGTTAACCACTTCACCTGGTGTATAGGAGGCCATGGGTTCTATCTCGACCCTGATGTCTGCTGTATATTTGGAATTTTTCTCCGGCTCCTCTGTTTCTTCTCTGCACATTTAGAATAAACGTGCATTTAGAGTATTTGCCTGTTTTAAATTTGCACGTGATAAGCCACTTCGTTGAGCTATCATTTGTGGCCAGGTTGCTTCTGAAAAAGAGCTATATATCTCGGTGAGCCTTACCTTAAAAAATAAAACGTATCCTTGGTTCTTTCGGTAAAGTCACGTAGAAGGGAAACAATAAAATAATACAAATATATAACAATAAAATTCTCACGACGTTTCGACTGCAACACAAGCAATCATCATCAGGTGTGAAAACCACAGCAAGAAAATTTGAAAATAGTGGCGGTTTTTTTAACGTTAGCACCACGGAGAGCGATTTGACAGTTTGTTCAGATGGACGAGTCCATCTATGTTCGGAAAAGAGGAGGGGGGAGACGAAAATAATGGATGCGGTCTGAAAGCCACCGTAAGCGTGAAAAATCAATTAAGACCCGAAATGGTTTATCAAATCCGTCCAATGATTGCTAAGCCAGAATCCATCTTCTCGGTTGAAATTGTCTCTGTGTTTGTATATGTGGATAACCTCATGAACGAATCTCTCATGGTAGCCAGATGGTTTGCAGAGAACCTCCGTCTTGGAGAAGTCAATGTCATGTGAGCCTACTGAATTATAACAGTGACCTGCCACGGCCGAGGTGTTGAACCTACCGTGTTTTAGGTCTGCTTTGTGTTCACGAATGCAGTCCGAGACATGTCGTTTGGTTTCTCCAATGTAACTACTACCACAGAGGCAACTTAGTTTGTAGACGCCAGTGTACTGTATGTCCGGAATCACATCTTTTACAGACGGAACCAGATCACGGATTTTATGTAATGTGTTGAATCGGACCTGGATCTTGTGTTTATTCAAGATTTTGGAGATCTTTTTTGTGATCCCTGCAATGTAGGGTAAAGTGATGGTTTTGAAAGGCTCCTCAAGAGGGTCCTTCTTCATGGTTGGAGTGATAGCTTTGCGGATTGTGTAGTCAGAGTAACCATTAGTCTTAAGAGCTTGGTGTACGTGCTTGAGTTCACTGGCTATGTGTTCCTGGTCGGATATGCATTGGGCTCTATGGTGCAGAGTCTTGATGAGGGAATTCTTCTGGGATGGATGGTGGTGGGAATCCGGTTTCAGGTAAGCATCCATATGGGTAGCTTTCCTGTAGACAGAGTGGCTCTTTGAAATATCAGGTCTCTTTTTTATTAGGACATCCAAAAAAGGTAGCTTTTGTCATCTGGCCACATGGCTGGCCTGTTTTAGACCAATTCTTCGACCACATCAATTCCATACACCCAGCCATCAGATTTACCACGCTTACGGTGGCTTTCAGACCACATCCATTATTTTCGTCTCCCCCCTCCTCTTGTCCGAACATAGATGGACTCGTCCATCTGAACAAACTGTCAAATCGCTCTCCGTGGTGCTAACGTTAAAATAACCGCCACGTTTTTTCAAATTTTCTTGCTGTGGTTTTCACACCTGATGATGATTGCTTGTGTTGCAGTCGAAACGTCGTGATAATTTTATTGTTTTATATTTTTATTATTTTATTGTTTCCCTTCTACATGACTTTACCGAAAGATCCAAGAATATGAATCTCTGCAGTCACGCAAGCTTTAAATCAAAAAATAAAAAGTAGTTTAGTTTATAGTTTCACATTATTCCTCCTGTTTGGTGTGCAATCAGCTTACCTTTGCTGAGCATGCACAAGTTGATTCATTTTTATCATTATTTTGTTTTCGTATACTGAAAACCTATTGCAAAGGATATTTTACTTTGGCTAACACAAGCAGCAGTCAAAACATTTTTACCTTATTACGTTGCCTAGAATTATCAATATTTCTGATTTTAAATCAACCAAACGAAGTACAATAAACCTTGTTAATTCGATATACATGGGACTCTGGCCTTGCCAAATTATCCAATATCCCGAATTATGTACAATGGTACTCCCCGGTGTCTCCTGCCCCAATATATAAAAAAAAACATTTCCAAATTTGTTTTCCAAACTCTTCACACACCATACGTATTGACACACCTGCATCAATTATATCCAAAATATTGGATTTGTCTCGAAGACGAAGGGATTTATACTTCAGCCCCTTTCTATTACATTTCTCAAAGGGTTGGCTTGCACAGAGTGCATAAACAAGGTACAGTCCTAAGCAGCAACAGGTCTGCACTAACGCTCACCACGCACGCCGCCACTGGACTGAGTCATTGTTTTGGTCGTGGCGCGCAGCGTCGCTCCACGTGAATGCCGAAATTGGATCATTCGGTACGGCAATTCGGCTCATGGCGAATTACTTATACTGTGTATATGCCGAAAGCGCAGCCGTGTGGAATTATTCCCAATTACGACTTATCAAATACCGAAATAACGAGGTTTTAACTGTATGTACAAAATTACTCACATGTTACTCATAAAATACCAAACACATGATACGATATTACTTAGACAATAGCACGTAAGAGGCTGAATTTATTTCAAAAGTAACCCTGCCTACGATAAGTCAGTTTTTAGCACAAGCCTTACGTGAATTATTCAGAGAGTGCGCTGGAATAATGGACAAATGGTTACAGGGTCATGTGTTGAATTCTGAACAGAGTAAACGAAGATAATGAGTCTTCTTTGGTTCTTTCGGTAAAGTCACGTGGAATGAGAATAAAATAATAAATTGATAAAATAAAATAACACAATATTCTCACGACGTTTCGGCCACAACACAAGCGGCCTTCATCAGGTGAAGGGACGAGACTGTCTGGAGGACAGCGCTGGAGTGCTGTGTTATTTTATTATATCAATTTATTATTTTATTCTCATTCTACGTGACTTTACCGAAAGAACCAAAGAAGATGAATCCTTGCAGTCAAGAAAGCTTTAAATCGAAGATAATGCCTCTTTGCAGTCAGCAAAATGAGTACCAACTTGGATGTGGGAGGTCATCGGTGGATGAATTAAATATAAAATCAGAATCTTAAATTCATTCTGAATGAATGAAAAATATATTCAATTCAAAAGAACAACATTGTCTGGTAATTACTTGCCGGTACCGTGTGCCCAAAACTGACGTGAGCTTGAGGCTGCATTTATGAGAAAATGGGAAAAGAGACTTAAACTACGTTTAAGTTTATTTTCTGGCACTCATTAACGATGCCCGTTGCGAGAGCACTTTAAAAGCGATGCACCAGACCCTCGTGTTTAAATTCTTATTTTCTATGAACAAAGCTTCAAACTCATGGCTGAGAGCCTGGAGACACGCTGCCTCGATACACATCTACAAGAAAATAGCCTTCCACTTACTGAGTCGCAACTTTCCTTCGAGATGACTTTTAGTCTCCTTCGTTGAAAAAGTGGAACTTCCCATTACTTGCTCAAGGCCAGCAGTAAAGAAAAGTGCAACTACCGCTAGCTTTACGACATAAGAGATTGGTACCAGAACGACGTGGCACTGGCTCAAGACAGAGGAAAGTCGAAACAAATGAAGAAATGTGCAGTGGGCACCTACAAGATATCTGCCCATGGATCATGATGATGATCATGATGACAACCACTGCTCAATAAAGAATAGGGCCACTTAGACTTGATTTTGATTGGTAAGTCCCAAACATTTATAATTGACGTTCACTCAGTTCCCCAGAGCTATCTGGGGAACTGAGTGAACGTCAGTTAATCACAGCGCAAAGCGTGTGATTAACTCTTGCTTGGAGCTGTTAGAAACTCATATCCCTTATTGGCAAAATAGTATCTCATTTCCAGAGAATGATAATCCACTCGAGAAACACGGTTGAATGCAGCGTATAAGCTTTCCAGCTGCCGTGTTTAAAGGTTTAAGCCTTAAACTCGTGAACACCTTCAGATTGGTCGACTATATTTAACTTATATTCTTAGTTCTTTCGGCAAAGTCACGTGACTTTACCAAAAGAACCAAGAATATGAATCTCTGCAGTCACGAAAGCTTTAAAGCAAAATTTATATTTAACTTGGTTGTAAGCTATTCTGAGAGATTAGCTTAGATGTACATACAGACGGGGGGGGGGGAAACCGCTGGTGTAGACAAATTTGTTTTGCGTTGCTCCCTTGCCGTGTTCTCTGGATTAACCGATGCACCGGAAAAAAAAGACGCAACCCCCAACTTTACACGCACTTTGTGCGAGTGACCGCACCAGTGCAAAATACAACACAAGCGCCGTTGTTGCCCTGGGAATGGTGCACAACCGCTAGCTGCTAGTCTCAACACTGTTACGACGGGGCCAGGGAAATCATATACCGCATACAATAGAACTGAGTTCCTCCATCTCCACATGTAAATAAAACATGTACATTTTTATATCCTGTGCTTGCGTGCAGTACCAAGTGTATGCATGTTTTTCTTTCCTCAAAACCACCCGGTGGAATGCGCGTGGCTTGCGTATATAGATTGGACGCCGGAGTGAGATTGTGAATTTGCATGTCCACGTGCCACGCCACATGCGGAATTATGAGGTGCACCCCCCCCCCCCCCCCCCCAAAACGTTTGGCTATCAAACGGTTTTTGGAAATGTAAACACAACACACCGGTGTCTTTACAATCCAGAGAATACGGTATACGCACACACGTGCCCGTTAACGCAACATGCCTTCATTTCTCTCGCCTCCCCTTCCCCCCCTCTCTGCAGGATCATCGATAACAACAGGCTGATTAAAATATCACAGAAGTCCTTCCTTGGCCTGCAATCCCTCGTTATGCTGTAAGTTTGCTTTGATGTCTTGCGTTGCAGCTTTGCATGCATTGTTGGCAATTGAAAACTAGGCCAGAGGAATCTTCCTGGCTGCGTCTTTTTCGTTCGGGTGAAGCTCGCACTACCTCCATATGATGTGACGCTCGCTGTTCCCCAGAGTGGTCCGCCGACAATTGGATAGACTGGCCATGCGTGGTACTGTGGCATTGAATTTCCACTGTGGGCTTGGGGTGACCAATCCCGAAAATTAGCAATGCCCAATGTTTATTTGAGTATGGAGGCACTTTGACTTGACTAATTAAAAAAAAAATCACCAGACGGCAGTACGAGCAAATCCAAGACCGTGACTACAAGTCGTCACTGTCGATATGTTATCGTCGGTGATAATCACAGTACGTATATATATATATTTGTAAATCAAATGTGTAGCCTGTAAATGATTTTAACTTTGTGCCGGGGTGTGGGTGGCACATGCCTGTGGTCAGGGTTGGTGGATCACATAGAGATCAGGTGGCACCACACTGCCACCTGCAGGGTCAGATCGGTACCTATGCGAGGTAGTGGAGCACATAGGTTACTGACCCATCAGTAGATACATTTTAAGTTTCCCTCCCCCATCGCCTTTGTGGATTACTCTCCAGATATTAGAATTACAATACACACATGGCTGTTGACTAAAAGTCCCAGAGCAAAATTTTGCTGAAATATACGACTGCAGTATTACAGTTAAAATAGTTTATAGATGGTGGTTATATCATATGTATGCTGGGAGAGACGAAATACCCATAATAAGCTTACAAATATATATTAACTGTGTTTATTGGTAGCACAGTAACAAAGAACATAGTAAAATAGTTCGACCTTTATAATTCGGTAAAACGAACGTCTACCAGCTTGGCCCATCTGAATAATCTGAGCCCCACCTGGTTTAGTTAAAGTCCTGACACTGGAGGAATCGTATTTCTTTTGCTGTTAATGTACGAGCATGTCTGCTGAAACAAAGCACTCTTATACAGTGAGGGAAAAAAGTATTTGATCCCCTGCTGATTTTGTAAGTTTGCCCACTGACAAGGAAATGATCAGTCTATCATTTTAATGGTAGGTTTATTTGAACAGTGGGAGACAGAACAACAACAACAACAACAAAAAATCCAGAAAAACGCATGTCAAAAATGTTATAAATTGATTTGCATTTTAATGAGGGAAATAAGTATTTGACCCCTCTGCAAAACGTGACTTAGTACTTGGTGGCAAAACCCTTGTTGGCAATCACAGAGGTCAGACGTTTCTTGTAGTTGGCCACCAGGTTTGCACACATCTCAGGAGGGATTTTGTCCCACTCCTCTTTGCAGATCTTCTCCAAGTCATTAAGGTTTCGAGGCTGACGTTTGGCAACTCGAACCTTCAGCTCCCTCCACAGATTTTCTATGGGATTAAGGTCTGGAGACTGGCTAGGCCACTCCAGGACCTTAATGTGCTTCTTCTTGAGCCACTCCTTTGTTGCCTTGGCCATGTGTTTTGGGTCATTGTCATGCTGGAATACCCATCCACAACCCATTTTCAATGCCCTGGCTGAGGAAAGGAGGTTCTCACCCAAGATTTGACGGTACATGGCCCCGTCCATCGTCCCTTTGATGCGGTGAAGTTGTCCTGTCTCCTTCGCAGAAAAACACCCCCAAAGCATAATGTTTCCACCTCCATGTTTGACGGTGGGAATGGTGTTCTTGAGGTCATAGGCAGCATTCCTCCTCCTCCAAACACGGCGAGTTGAGTTGATGTCAAAGAGCTCCATTTTGGTCTCATCTGACCACAACACTTTCACCCAGTTGTCCTCTGAATCATTCAGATGTTCATTGGCAAACTTCAGACGGGCATGTATATGTGCTTTCTTGAGCAGGGGGACCTTGCGGGCACTGCAGGATTTCAGTCCTTCACGGCGTAGTGTGTTAACAATTGTTTTCTTGGTGACTATGGTCCCAGCTGCCTTGAGATCATTGACAAGATCCCCCCGTGTAGTTCTGGGCTGATTCCTCACCGTTCTCCTGATCATTGCAACTCCACGAGGTGAGATCTTGCATGGAGCCCCAGGCCGAGGGAGATTGACAGTTATTTTGTGTTTCTTCCATTTGCGAATAATCGCACCAACTGTTGTCACCTTCTCACCAAGCTGCTTGGCAATGGTATTGTAGCCCATTCCAGCCTTGTGTAGGTCTACAATCTTGTCCCTGACATCCTTGGAGAGCTCTTTGGTCTTGGCCATGGTGGAGAGTTTGGAATCTGATTGATTGATTGCTTCTGTGGACAGGTGTCTTTCATACAGGTAACAAGCTGAGATTAGGAGCACTCCCTTTAAGAGTGTGCTCCTAATCTCAGCTCGTTACCTGTATAAAAACACCTGGGAGCCAGAAATCTTTCTCATTGAGGGGGTCAAATATTTATTTCCCTCATTAAAATACTTATTTCCCTCATTAAAATGTAAATTGATTTATAACATTTTTTTCTGAATTTTTTTGTTGTTATTCTGTTTTTCACTGTTTAAATAAACCTACCATTAAAATTATAGACTGATCATTTCTTCGTCAGTGGGCAAACGTACAAAATCAGCAGGGGATCAAATACTTTTTTCCCTTACTGTAGGTGCTTATGTAGCTCCAAGGGCTCATGCCCTTGTCACGAATATAAAAGGCAGCAGCCTCTGCGCGTCGGTATAAAGAGCTCGTATTTTACATCTCAGTCTCACCTTGAATATTTATCGTTTCGAAAAAAAATCCACCTTCCAAAATGTAGCATTCAAACCAATTCCCGAGAATGAAAGACAACGGTATAAAAGAGCAATCGGTGCAACAAAAAAAAACATCATTCGCAGTGTACCTCTGCAAATGATTGCATTGGGCTAATTCGCCGAGCATGGGACGGGTTCTCGTGTCTCGGTGAAACCAGTTGATGAGAAGGGTGGTCTCTCTTTGTTCCGAGGAAACCCCACGTGCAATCTTCCTCGGCATCGCAATAATCCAGCCAGTTGGTCCTGTGGTTGAGAGTGCTTGACCCACATTGGAATATTTCGAGTTAAAATCCCAGTCAGTGATGACGTATCCTCTTACCTACCCCACACACCCTTTGGGATCAATAAAATAGGTACCACATTGGTGATAGTTAACAGTGGTCATTGTTTTCAGAAACTGGATCCCCACCATGAGGATATTGAATTTCCACTGATGGCTCAGGGCCATCCATACCCAGAGAAGACGGCTGCCACGTTCAATTCCTTATAGAGATATTTGAGCATGCGATAGCATCTGTTATCTGTGATGAAATGCTGACTTGTTATTCAGCTGTAATGAATCATTCAATTTGTTTATTTTTTTGTGAACAGATGCACACTGAAGCCGCGTGAATATTGTCCAACATAATGTCTCCCCACATTTATGTTAAAATTGTGTGTTTACAGGGTGTTGCTGAACAATACACTTCATGAATTACCCAGGAAGTCCATCTGTAAAGGAATGCCACAGCTGAACTGGTTGTGAGTACCGCTACTAAATGCACATGAAGGGGAACCTTTGGGCAGAGATCACTGCAGGTGTTACGTTTAAATGTTATATTTATACTTTTTAGCTTTTGTACCATGTTCCATATTTCTGATCAATGTTTCCTTGCGGTGCATCTGCAGTGACTTAACTTGAAAAAAAATCCTCTGCCACATTGGTGTATGTTGGTTTTCATCACAGATTTTTTCGCAAAAGCACTCCATCATGTTCACGCTTTGCCTCTTTATGTTGTGCTGTAATTGCATTTGGCCTGGCTATAAAGATATATTTCTTAGAACTGCGTGCCTGAGACAAGTATTTCCCTCTGTTCAGAAAACCTGTTGCACGTGACGTTCGTTTGTTGCACTATTATGTTGAGGTCAACATTACAGACTTGTTGCTATTCAATCGTTTGCTCACTACCACTCATTGTTATTACGATTGTTTTCAACGGATCTGAGATTCTTCATACTTCCACTGGTTGCGTTATTAAATGTTTATACGTGAGTGAAATGCCTCGGTCATTGAATGATGCCTCAATCGTTCTTCTATTCTAAGAGAGAGAGAATCACAATTGATTAAAAAAATACAGATCCTTTAGCCTCCTATCACACCAATATAAACTATTCACAAACATTATAGGGAACTAAATAAAGGACGATTTAGAGACTAATAAACCATGAGAGCTAGGTGGTTTTAGAAATGGGTCTTAAAATTTTTAAACATTCATGCTGTCAGTCCGATTATCGAAAATACCTATTGAATTTTCAAATGCCATTATACCTAACCATTGTCTGCTGTGATAATGCACACAATTCATTGGAAAAATATAAGCGGTGATTAAAGCTTTCACAAACCTGGGTGTACATTTTTTTAAATCAAAACTAGTTTTTAAAATATGTGGCAGCTACATTGAGATTGCGTAAAATAACAAATTAGCAGAACATTCAGGCAAGGATATACACTCTCAGGAAGCCTATTCACGGAAACACTCGAAGATATTTTCTCAAAGCTTGATTGAGATAAGAGCACAAATGATCCCACTGCGGTTACGTAAAATATAAGATTTTGAATCAGGGAATCGGAGAATAAGAAGGCTGAGTTCAAATTGCGGTCTTGCGAGCTCAGGCATCATTTCTCCAGCACATAAACTGAAGTAGAACATTAATAATAATAGGGTTTTTCCCTTTTTCTGGCAACAAAACTGAAACCTTTTTTACAAGGATTCATGTCTGCATTAACCACAATACCTGCAGTCAAAATGCAAACAAAAAAAACATACTATGATAATATATGCATTGTCCTTGAAACTGATTGGTCCACACCAAGGGACGGCTTTCTTTTGAGCCTCGACCCAACTGGTGCTCGACCAGATGACACCAAAAGGCGTACAGCTCAAAGACAATGCACTATCAAAGTAATGAGGGCTCGGGGTGAGCATCTACATCATTAGACCTCCTTTGCCAGTACCAAAATGTAATAGTAGGGTTTTTCCCCTTATTTCTGGCAACAAAACTGAAATCTTTTTTTACAAGGATTCATGTCTGCATTAACCACACAATACCTATTGTGTATATATTCTCTATGATTAAGCCGTATGTGGGAAGATACCCTTATGCAATCGTGTGGCACTGGTGGCAGCATGTGGCAATGCAGCACTTGTAATTGGAGCCCAATGAGATTCCAATTTCTCTTGCCACCACAGGGGGGACAGGAACCATCTATAATAACATCACTAAGTGCCCAATTGTTTTTTATTGTTATTTCCCGGTGCCTTGCAGCGCCCATGACAGTAATGTTAGATTAGAGCAAGCTGTAAACTAGGTCTGAATGGATTCTTGTGGCGCAGTATCTAAAACTCCATGGCAACAGCCGTGCTCTTCTGCAAAAATCTCCTCTTTATCGAAATAACTTTCTTGTGCAAGATAAAATAATAAATGGTTCGACAGCCGAATGCTGCAGCTATACAAGGGCATTATTTTACAATGCGCTCCTGTTTTGCTTTGGCGGTAACCAATGAAACTGCTTTTTCATCCAGCTGTGGCATTGGGATCGCCGAGATCTTGCAGTCTGGGTTTGCTCAGGCTTGCTGAGGCACCGTAGGATTGTATTTGTCTTGACAGCTGACAGAGACTCAGGTGTTTTGTCTATCTCCCAACTCTATCCCGATTCTGCTGTCGCCTTCATGCCATTGAAGAGGAATCAATTTGGAACATTTATAGAGCATTGGGACCTTTCATGTTCGGGAACAGCCCGTGGAAGCGGATATCACAGAGCTGCCTCCGAGGTCCTTTAAAGTGACCTCTGCTTTGCATATGAGCGCAATGTTTGTCGCACGACAGTCAACATTGTTTTATTTAATTCTCAAAGATACAATTTAGGCAAATTAAGTGTGAAGTGAACATTTTATTGATTTGATGGTGCAGTCATTGATAAGCGGGCTGTGATAATCGACACACTGCACTAGAGAACCTCGTTTAATCATGGGCAGCTGCGTGGAGTTGACCAAAGGACCTCAGCAGTGTTAGCTCAGCACATTCACCTCTCAGCCATCTGGTAACCAGGTGGCTGAGAGGTCAGATCCACTGAAGTTCATGCCATAAGACTACAGTTACAAATGTCTTGGTTTCTTCAGTTTGGCTCGGGTCACCAAAGGATGCGTTCAGGTCAACACACCAGATATTATGAAAAAATAAGAATATGTTTTACCCTTTCTGGCAATTAAATAGCTGTGTTAAGATGTTCAAACACCAAATAGAAACCTTTTGCAAGGAATCATGTCTGCATTAACCACACACAGTACTTGCGGTGAACATGAAAACAAACATGCTCTGATTATACATGCATTGTCTTTGAAACTATTTTGCCTACACCAGAGACAGCCTTCTTTAAGGCCTAATCTCAACCAGTTTTAGACCAGAGAATGCCAAAAGGCGAACACCAGATATTTCTATACTCTTTTGTTCTTTCGGTAAAGTCACTTTAAATAAATGAAAGTCATGATTACATTTATTTTATTTCATACCTACGTGACTTTACCGAAAGAACCAAAGAGTATGGATCCCTGCAGTCACGAAAACTTCAAATCTACCAGATATTTCTGTTGCCACCTTGTCTATGGGACCATTCTGCCAGTCTTTACCCTTTCTGGAATAATACAATTGTTATACAAATATCAAATAGATACCTATTACAAGGCATTAAGTCTGCAGCAACCACACATACTTGTGGTAAAACATGCAAACAAATATGCTTTGGTAAATGTATGCATTGTCCTTGAAACTGATTGGCCTACACCACATAGGGTCTCTTTTATGGCTTTGTCTCACCGGTGCTATAGACCAAAAGCTGCCCCAAAGACAAACAGCGCAAGGACAATGCAAACGCCAACGCATTAATAACTTGGGTTAAGCATTTATCATGTTACCACTTTTGTTATTGAGTCGTTATTGTTCTTACATAATTTTGTTATGAAAAAAATGTCATCACAAACCAGTAGTTATCTCTCTAACGTACAAGCATCAAAGGCACCGCACTTATTAAAATATCACTTTGTAAAAAAATAAAAAGCTTAACAGACAACAATATTAACTAATTATCCAGAGAATTTTTAATAAATGTGTGAAACATCCTAATAAATGTTGAAGTACTGACTAATAACACAGATTGCTTTGCAAGGTCGGGTTGATCACACTGTTAAGGCGAGGTGTGAAGGGAAAAGTGTCTCCCTGGTTGAACGAGCACCGAGGTGGCGCTAATCTCCACTGGCGGCCCGCAGGGCCATTGCTGTAAATTTTACATTCCCGTAAATTTTACATTCCCATGGCCGGATCGGTCTTATCCAACAGACAACCGCCGTTGACTTCCCCCAACAAAGTGTTACTTGTTTTATTGACCCTGAAATAAGTGTTGACTTAAGGAGAGCACCACACGAGATGTTAACGTATGCCGTTTGAATTGAGATTAATTACACTGCAATACGTTTCAGAAGTTTCCTGATGCTGCACTTAAGGATACGCATTTCTTTAACAAAGATATAGTAAGATTTATTGTATTTAAAAGCCCATAATGATTCTAATTCAGTATCAGCAAAAGTGGACAACTCTAGACCTCTAAGACCTCAGACAGCCTCTGTTCAGTTTCATTTTCATTGTTTTCATTTATTTGGTATAGCCCTGTGAGCCATTTGGCTGTTGAATCGGGTGCAACCACAACAAACAAAAGACAAAAACATGAACAAGAAAACATCTTAAAGTGACTATGCGCAAACAGAAAAATCCAGGAAAACACAGCAAAATCTTCCAGAAAAAGCACCGTACATCAACGCTGTGTGCAAAAATCCCAGTGGGATGCAAGTCAAACAACAACAACAACAACCACAAGACAACTTAGATTAAAGCCATCAGTTTAACTCCGTACTACAACAAACAAACATGGCAACACCAAAAACCGTTTTCGAAATCACCCAAATAAAGCCATAAAAGCAATGTTGAATGTCACTGAGTATGATGCTCTTTAACAAAAAAAACTGTAGTTAAGAAGCAATTTAAATTGTATAGAACTCCGAAAGTATGTTAATAGTGCTCTTCGAAGGGACATTTTTCAATAATTTAACACTTTTCATAAATTACTAGAGATGGCGATACCAACATTTTACCCGACCACTAAATGATCTGCCAATTAACTTTCTGGAACATTCCATTGTTACTATTAATTGGACAGAGGTGGATGGAGCAACTTGCCCAGAGTTTCAAAGGCATCGGCCAATAATTTAATCTGGCACTTAAGGATTATGAGCATAATGTGCTGATCTTTAATCTTATCAATAAATGTCATTGTTTGTCTGTCTGTCCGTCCGCCTGTGTGTGTGTGTGTGGCCGGAACTTGCGAAGGATTTGGCTCGCAAACCGTGGGGTTTTACGTTTAAAACAAATAATAGCCAGGTACCACACCGTAAGCCCCGTGCTGAGCCAGCGCTATTCCGATTTCGCGTCCG